CTTGCCACTGTTAAACAGTTAAATTTTTTGGGATTTATATGTGAGAACGACAATGGAACCTTCGCATTAAACCGATGCAAAAGAATAAAGAAAAGAATTAAAAAGGAGAAATAAATTTGAAAAAAAAAAAAAACGGTTGACAGAGCAACAGTAAAACTTCACACAGCACACAGGACACACACATACACACATTCAGCAGGTGTTCCGGAGTTCTGAAAAGTCAAAAACGACACACCTCCATGATTGCATCAATAAAGAGCACTACCATCGCCGGTGTTCATCATCCAGTTTCTCTAAATACACTTCGTCGATGTGTGTATGAAGAAAAACCTTTGAATAGTAACAGTTTCACTGTACCCTGACCTGCTCTGTACTATTAATCATCCTCCCCTCCCCCTCCCACTCTAATTTCTACTTTTTCTCATAAGCATTGCTATTCCTCTAAAAAAGATCTTTGCTTGCAAGCAAAAAAATAGAACAAAAATTAAACTGGTTTTTTGGTGAGTATGTTACAGCTGATTTCAAACCATTGTCCCTTCATCAAGAATTCCCAAATATACTAACACTGAAATTTTACTAATAATAACCTTTCATTGTCTGCTTACACATCGTCAAATTATAAAAGTTTTACCCTTTTCACACCCACCAGTAAGAATGACCATCTAAGTGGCTTTGGATGATGAAAACAACTGGTGTCTCCTCATCAGCAACATTCGTTTTTTAAAAAATTCAAGGACATTTCTACACCCACGTATAAAAATTTACTTATATTTATAAACAGAACCTCCGACATCCAATAATTATTAAAAAAAAAAAAAAAGAACACTTTTGTCCTTCCTCAAATATCACCAAAATAAGTTAGTTGAGTAATAAAAGAAGACATTTTTAACTACTTCTACCAAAATCTCACAACCATTTTTTGTCACGTAACTAAGTACGTCACTAAAACATCCGTTGTCCTTCCGTCTGTCTAATTTAAAGAAAAAAAAAAATAAAGTAGAGAAAAGCGCAAACCAAATACCGCCTGATAAAAATTCTTCTTTGCTAAATTTCATGGTTGAAAATAACTGTGCAAAATAAATAAAATTAAATATAAAACAACACCATTATTGAAGAAAAGTGACTTCTTCCATTTTACTTCGAATGATACTTCAAAGATGAAAAAATACAATAAATAAACTTTTAAAAATTACTAGTAAAGGGCCAATTAAAAAAGAAATCTTTAATCAACAGGCAATAAAAATGCATTCATCTTTTTTAAAAACCAATTTTTCAAATCATCTGAAACCTAAGCACACGTCTATGCCAAAATAAAAATTGTACCTAAACAAAACTAAACCACTTCATTTGCACTTTAAAGAAAGGCAATCTCAACCTGCAACAACTGCCAGTTTTAGATGCAAAAAAAAAAAAAAAAATCTGAAGGAACAGTAAATGTGGGCACCGAGAAAACAAAAACGAGACTATTAAAAATTCCACTTTTTCTCAGTTAAAAAGTCCTGCATACTTCTCAAAAAAAAAAAAAATTAAACGTCATCCCTCTTTAGTTTAAAGTTACATATAGGCACAAAACTATCTGCCCCTCTCTCTCATCACTTATCATCTGCAACTTTCTCTCGATTTCTCATTTTTAGTTAAGAACAAAAAAAAAAAAAAAAAAAAAAAAAAAAAAA